TGTGTGTTAAATAAATTTTTTGTTAATGTATCCAGCCTCAGCAATTTCATTATAGTAACAGAAGATAGAGTTGTGTAAGACTGCTAGGGAGTCTTTTCATTTGAAGTTATCTATTGAAGGTTTCCTAGGAATGAGTGAATCTTTGTATCAAGGAATCAAAGGCTGTGGAAATACAATGGTTCCTCTCATAATTACATCCAATATCCTGTTTCAGCCTTTAGCTTTCATTCTTGCAATTTTAGCTTTGACAATTTGGAGATTTTGGTGCTCGAGACCAGGACCCACCAGGAGATATGGGGATTGTTTCATGGAATCAGATTTGATATTGCCACCAGGAAACTATAATAAATGTCTTGTGTTGCTGAATCAAGAGCAAAGGAGGAGATTACTCTCTACTGGCAGGTTTTGAAGAGTATCTTACATGATTTTGCATAATGTTCCTTGTGATACCTTTAATGTTTTCTTATGACGAGCTGGGAATTGCCATATTAGAACCCTCCGGAAGCTGTGTGCTTCCTCATGGTATCAACACTGGGCACTTGAAAGCTTCGTGCCTGGCACCTGTGATGCCAGCCCCAGCACGGAGGTGTCTGCCATGCTTCTCCAAAATAAAGCACTCGTGTTCCTGTCCTTTGTCCTTGGAAGTGAATCACCATGCCTAGCCCCAGATAGGAGGAAGGTACGTAACTTCCATCCTGGAGACAAGTTTCTATTTCATCACTTGGAAGTCTTCTAAGAGAAAAATTTTGTCCTCTTCCTCTCCACCTTTTCCAATAATCTCTCTCTGGACTCATTTTATTGTTTGGGTTGTAATCCAATGTGAAATTATTGCTGCTTGAACTATTCCAACTTCGACCCTCGTGAACTCTTTTCAGAATGTCCTGTGTCCTTTGGATCTCTCTCATTTTAATATTTATGAGGCTTTAGTTCTTCCTTATTTTGTGGCATTGCAAAATAAGCCAGGCTCCTGTTGAGTTCAGCTGCCCCCATCCTAACCAAGTCAGTATTTCTCCAAAGGATAGTCCCTCTTTATTGAAGAATGGAGTTTAGAAACCGTGTTGGGCGTCTGGGTCACCTTCTTGTTGAGATATCAATGTACATGCACGCACACATTATGTATGTGTGGATTTTTGTACAGATAAAATTTTTATTTAAATATATGTACAATATGTGAAAATATGTATTTGTATCCTTGTACCTATAATTATTATTCTGTTTACATATCTGTATATACTTACATTAACATTAATGTAATTGTATACTGATATTCTTTCACCTATCCACAGGATTTATTCCAAATAGAATTTTTAAAATAGTTCACACAGCTCAGAGTTGAGTAGCATGAATAGTCTATCAGAAATGGGTAAGATTTTTGAAATTTTGAGACTCTTCAATTTGAGAGGAGGATAAAAATATCTTTGTATCTATGAACAACATTGGCTTCTTGAAAGGCAGAATCCTGCAGGATTGTTACTGTTGCAGGGGAATTCCAATGTGTTTAAGTATCAGGCGGGTGCATAATAGAAGATACTGTCTCCAGGTATCTGGGCTGCAGAGCTGGAAATGAGACCTTGCAAATCACCTTTCTAACTGGCTGCCTGTTAGTCTGTGCTCACAGGCACCAGAAGTAGACGCAAAGCTGCAGGAGAGAAGGGGCTGCTCCTTACTGCCGCTTCTGCTGCCTGCCGACAGTCCCCATCCGTGAGCATTAGCCAGCAGTGCTCCTTCACTCTGAGCACTTTCCTCCTCCTCTATTTTGCAATTTTTCTAACAGCTGCAGAGCCACCCAGATCATCCACATCAGCTCCAGACAAAACATGCCCTGTCTTTAGAGGTTTGAATTTCTGTCCACGCTGTTCACCAGCTTCTAAGATCGAATAACTCACAACCTCTCTAAAACCAGGAGCTTTCCACACTTGCTACTCCCTCACAGCCAGTGCTCTTCAGGACCTTGTTAACAACGGAGCACCTAAGCAACAAGTCTTTATATGAAATTACCTGTGCTAAAGGGACTGGGACAAGGCCATTACTGATACAATTTAATATATATTCATGCATTGTTCACTTATATTTTTGAAAAAAATCCTCTTACTATCTGTGGTAACAGGTGACTGGAAATGTATCATGTTTCACAATGCCTTCCTGGTGATGGAATATATTTATAACCAGATACATAATTGGAGAATTTGGCAGTTTCAACATATACTTCTATTTTTTTTTTTTTATCTTGGGGGAAAGCTGTATCTCTGATATTTGGAATTTTATGTATAACATCCTCAAGTCATTTCAAACGATTTAATAGATCCTCCCATCTATTTGAAATCTTTATTATATTTTTCATATCCTGGGAAAGACCTCAAGGTTAGGAGAAAGTGGACTTCTTAGTTCTTAGAGAACTTCTTAATTCTCTAGATGCATTCTGGCTTGATCATTTTCCAAACTGCCTATTTTATAAAAGGAAAATATAAACTAAATCAGTGATTAATTATCAAACTATCATGTCATCCCAACAAGTAACATTTTAAAGAGTTCAACTCTAAATAGTAGCTCTCTTTCCTGTGTCTGTCTCCTCCTCTCTACTTTTCTTTTCAAGTAAACAACCTGAGGAAGAACAGGTAATAAGAATTTCTTACCCTATTTTTTACTTTTCAAGTTATTTGAATTCTTTGTACAACTTGATTATAAATAAACCAATAGCATCATATTGTATGATTGAATGAAGAGGTTTATTATCAGGAATAGTGCTTTTCAAATACTCATATGCCACCTTATCACCAAATTATCACATAAACCTTTAAATTTCAATTCTCTTTTGCAGAATTGGGGTAACAGTATCTCATAAAAAAGAAAAATAGAATCAGTGAAAAATGTGTAACATAGTTCCTGGTTTAAAGTAAACTTTCAAATAATGAATCCATCTGGTGATTTTTTTTGTGACATGATGTAGGTGATATATTCAACCCCATAAAAATTTGTGGGTTTTGTTTTTAGTTGCATTAATAGTTTGCAAGGGATCTTTCAAAAGCTTATCAAATAATGCATTCACATGTAGTTTTTTTGTTTGTTTTTTAAACTTTGAAAGTCCAAGTCAAGATGCTCTCCTGGCCCACTGTCCTCATAAGCTACCTTAGTAACCAGGGAGGAGGTTGTGTGCCCCATGACTTCCCCCACACACCTATAACCTGGATTACGTAAGTCACTCCTGGCTGGATGTCTGTAAGCCTATTTTAGATTATACTGTCTATTTTGTCATTACATTGGTTTAAGATGCCTGGACAACATCACCAAGAGATTCAGACTCAACCATCATATGTGACACTACCCAAAGGTGCTTAGATAGCAGTCCCCACCGACAACATCAGAGACAGCAGAACTGTTCTCGACTGGCCAGGTCCCCTTCTAGTTATTGTAATTAGTAACTAATTACTAGTAACCAAGATATTTCCTTATGCTCTTCCCAAAAGATCAGTAAACAGCTGATTACCTGAATCCTTTCTGGTCTGCCAATGATCACAGGAAAACTGCATCTAATGTGTGACTGCTGGTGGCAGTTGAGAAGACCCAGTTTTACAGAACATACCTAGTTAATGACAGTCTAGGCTGGGATTTTATTCCACTTGCACTGATGTGTCAGTCAGTTACTATCCCTTGGGACCAGGGAGAACAAAGACTCCTGGGTCAGACAGAGACTTCCCTGCTTCAGGCACAGCAGGTGGCACGAGCCTCAGCAGGTCTGTATCAGTTCTCTCTGTCCTCAGACCCAACAGTGCTGGTGGGGTGGCAGGAAGGCTCCAGATAAACCCAGCTCAAACAGGGCACTTTGATACAGAGCTTAAAATCCGGAGCTGGGGCATACCCCCTCCTTTATGGCACTCAGTGAGCAGCCTTCTTTATCTGGGGCAGAGAGTTCCCCATCCCTTGAGGTAACTTAAAAACCCAGCTCTTCAGTACTCCTGAGGAAAACTGTCAAGGACGCAGCCTCTTGAGCAACATGACCCTGAGAAAGGGCCCAAGTACAGAGGAGGCACAGGCAGCAGGACTCGGAAGCTATCTCCCGACAACCACTCCACTGTCCTGCTTTGCTTCGACTTGCAGCAAAGTTTCCCATGATCCTAGGACTCCATGGGCTACTCTGAGCCATTTAGCTGGGAAAGGCTGCACCAGGTCCATTCAGTTCCACTCAGTGTTTCATTAACAGCAGGAAGAAACCACCCTGCAGTATTGACCTCAACCATGTCCCCGGGATCCCAAACTCAGTCAGTAGGGAATATGTTCTAGGAGGGCCAGTACATCGTATTTTAGGTCTCAGACTGCAACCTAAAGCCAGGTCTGTCATCTACTGTCACCCATACAAGGGACCTGCTACTAATCTGCTCATCTTTAGCACCACTGGCGATAAATGTAAGGGGCCATACATGGACTACAAAGCAAACCCCTTCCTGATGGCTCCTGCCTAATCTCATTTTTCTCTGGATCACCTCTATAAAAGCCTCCTTTTCCTGTGGATGGGCAGAATCGCAGCCTTTGGGACAGTGGGCAGAATTGCAGCTTTTGAGACAGGAGTCCCCTGTGCTTCTCCCTTGCTAGCAAAGCAATAAACTTTTTTTTTTTTTCCTTTTTCTCAAGACCTTGTCTCCATTATTAACTCGGCATCAAGGACAAGGACTGAGCTTTTGGATAGGTCAAACAGTTTTAGAAACAGATGCAAATTTGATTTGTTTTGTGTATCCATCAGGCAAGAGAAACCCAATTTTTGTACTCCAAAGAGGAAAGCTGGGTGACTCATCATTGTTGCCTTCCTTGTACCAGACAGCAAGGCCACTGGAAATGGTGACAGTCTTTAAACACTTGCAGATGGAGCCAATTTTGGACCAGTTATGACTGGTCAATATGCCTGCCAGCGGGTCCAATTGTGCTGTAAGGTGAGTCCTGTCCTTTATTGAGGACATTCTAGTTAAGAAGTTCAGCAACTTCGTCAGGAATGAGGGTGGTGATGAAGTCTGTAAAGTCTGAAAATTCCCTTTGCTATTCAGAGTTGATTGCAGGAGCTTCACCAAGTCAAAGGCTTTGGGAGAGGGTTGCCTGTCTTTAGCACCATGGCATCTAGCCAAGTCTGTCCTGCAGCTGGAGACCTCGCCCGCCATGCCAAACCTCTGGGTGTGCTGCTCCTGTGACCTAGGGTAGTGAGCTGCTGAACATGGAAAGTCATGGGCTGAGAGAGCAGCATGTCCAAGAGAGCCCAGTTTGGGCCAGCAGAGATCATTCTCCCAGCATATATCATGAAATGGAGGAAGGGGATTTCTTTTATCAGAAGCATGTTTCTCATATCAGAAGCACAAGAGCAACTTGTGTTGTGCTGGTCCAGAGATTCAGGAGGTATGAGAGGTGCTTGCTGGAGCCACCACAGGGAAGGGGCCTCCAGCAAAGGCACAACAAAATGTTTGCTATATTGCAAACTGAACTAATTTTAGGGCCTTTTGGCAAAGACAGACCCATTTAATATAGGTCAACTGGCAAGTAATAGCACAATTAGAGTCCAATAAGATTTGTGAGAAGTGTGTTACCTTCAAATTCCAAACTGGAAGGTCAGGTGAAGCCCTTCAGAAGAATGGGCCACGCTGTTGCTCCACGTCCTGCAGATCCAGCTTTCTAAGAATTTGGTGTGATTCCCAAGGTAGGTAAGGGTGATGTCCCGGATAGAGTATCGGAATTCTCTTAAGGATTTTTAACAGAAAAACGTATGTGGTATTCACCTAGTTGCAAGACGCAGAAGAATATTTCAACCATTTGCAGAATTTTATATAATACAGTGTGCATTAAATGGCCTATATATTTTAATAGCTTACATATTACACATACTACTAAGTTACACATAAATAATTTGTTATATGGTCTCTTTATGTCTCACTGCTTGGCTAGCAAAGAGGACACACCAGGGATCCTGCCCCAGAGCCTGTGATTCCGCCCATCACGGGGCAGAAGGGGCTATTACCTCTCAGAACCGGCCTAGAACTCTAGCTTATCTCACATCTGCAAACTGAAGCAGGAAAAAGAAAAGCCTGGGGCAGGAAAGAGTCCAGGGAAAGCACAGTGATCAAGGATGATGTTTGTCCCTCAGATTTCAGCTGGTGACTTCTCCATTCAAGAATCTCCCCCTCTTCCTAGTACAGGGAAGGAAACAGGCTTCCTACAGAGAAGCTTCCTTTGTAGATGTAAATTTCCAGTATTTACAAAAAGGAAACTCCTTTTCTGCTTTTAGAGCCTTTCCTGTGTCTGTGGTTTTTCTAGCTGTTCAAAATACCCCTTCTGCCAAAGAGACATGTCTTGGGGGTGTAATATTCCAATCTCCTACATGTACGTTATTCAAGTACTCCAATTCCAAAGTTAGGTAATGTGCTAAGCATTTGAAAACTACTTCTGTTCAAACTACTCAGAATTAAAATGGAATTTAGATATATAAAGTGGAAATCATTATCTCTCTCAAAACAAAATGATAAACCAATAATACTTATAACTAATGCTTCACTGTATCTTAACATGCTTGTTCTAATTTTCAGGTAGAAATTTTGCAAAGCGTTTTGCACAGGCTGAATTTCAGGCAATAATTAAGGAAATCTGGAGTTAGCACAGGTCAGTCCTTACAACAGTTTGATCAGGAGCTTAGATCTTTGATCATCAGCAAGCTCCAAGATACTCTATGACTAACTCCCCTTGCCAGTTTTATGCCTCTTTAACATACTGAGCCTCTGCTCTCTTCCCTTCCCTTTATGACTTAAAAAAAAAAAAGTGTCAAGTAATACAGAATGTTTCTGCTCCCTGTCTGCATTCTGAGCTGTCTACGCTATAGAGCTGTCTATTACAATCAATTCTTCGCCTTGTTCTCAGCTGCATTCCCAACTTCTGAGGTCTGGTATACAGGAAGTAATCAATAAGAGCTGTCTGTCGACCTCCTCCGTCTAGACTTCCTCCTAATACCTGTAGCATCCCCAACCTGCCAACATCAGCATCTCACCAATTTCAGTCCCAACACTATCATTCCACTCCGCCTCCCCTTTAGTGAAAACATCTGGCTGCTCAGCCTCAGCAGTGCCACAGTGAGAATTCAATAGAATCTTTGGGTGAGTTTTGCCAAAACTATATCATCATTATCACATTAGCACTTTTTTAAATGCGAACTTTATATCAGTATTCCACGCTGGTTTTCTGTTTATTTTCACAACATTTAAGGACTCCCTAAATAATATATGCATTTTGTTAATTTCTAATAATTGTTGAAAATAACATTCAAAATAAAAGATCGTTTCTTACATTTTTAAATATAAAAGCGGGGCTGGGGATGTGGCTCAAGCAGTAGCGCGCTCACCTGGCATGCGTGCGGTCCAGGTTCAATCCTCAGCACCCCATACAAAGATGTTGTGTCTGCCGAGAACTGAAAAATATTAAAAAATTCTCTCAATCTCTCTCCTCTCTTAAAAAAATATACATATAAAAGCAAATTCTATAATAAAAAGAGTAATGTATACATGTATTTCACATGACAGCCAGCTGCAATATGACAAGGGTACAGAAAATATAACTAGACATTAATGCAGGCAGGGCAGTTTCGTATTTGTGCGGCCTGTGGGTCATATTGATCCCAGTCCTGTTTTACTGCTCTACTGGGACTCTTCTGAAATCCTTATCATTTTGAAATGGAGGTCTGCATTCTTATTTTCCACTGAGCCCTGCAAATTACGTAGCACGTTCCAAATGTGGGGGGTGGGGGGGCAATTTATTGGCTTAATACAAATTAGTAAACAAGATCAAAGTCAAACACACATAGCATATACCTTAATGCATGGGAAGCTTTTGTCACAATTCTTAAAGACCTGAATGTTCACTTCAACTTGAAAGACAGGTACTCTGTATTTCCACTTTCCAGCCCAAATTGTAATTATGGGAACAATTACCTCCTTAAACTTTATCTAACGTAAAAATAATCTTGTAAGAACTGATTGTAGGGTGAAAACCCACTGTGCAGTGGAGATATGCTGGTGTAGTGGATGAGTAGACTTGAGTCCTAATTCACCAGGGTCTACTTTCAGTGTGAGTCTTTGGTGGGGCCCAGTGAAAGTCATTCTCATTTGACTTACTCTATATTTGCGTACTATCAGTGTTCCTTAGGACAAAAGTGACCAAAGGACTAGTATAGGTAATATCTGAACAATTCCTCCAAACCAATGAAATTTGGTCAATAATTTAACCGAAAACGTAACAGTGGCTTCTGCCTTGGACATCGTCTTTGAAGAGTTGCTTCCCATCCCTTTGCCTGGCATTCTAAATTCTAAAGAAAAGCCAAAGCTTAATGATTAAGGCATTAACTGTCAAATTTTTCTTTAGATTCACAGAACCCAGAACATCTGGTGACTTTCAGATAACAGCAGAATGCCTCTCCTTAAGTCTATGCATAAACTAGCACAAAGCATGGAAATAGTTGGATAATGAACTTGCAGAAAAGTAACACATTTGACACTAGCCCCAGGAGGTCAAGGCCACTGAGAATGCTGTGGCTGGGGGCCAGGCAGGGGTTGGAGGGCACTGCTCATCACATAGCCTTTCTGCCTATTATTCTACTCCTCCTCCTTTCCATCCCTGTAAAAATCCATATACCTGCCTGAGGTCCCTGAAGTTGCACTTTGAAGATTGGATTTTCATCTCCCAAAGAATTGAGAAACACACACAAGTACAGATTCATTGAAAGCGGTGGTGAGGGTAGCACTATATAAGGTAGAAGTGGGCTAAGCAAGAGAGAGACTCAAGGCCCTGATATCTGGAAATCAGAGTCTTATACGCTGAGCAGTGAGATGTTCTCTTTTCTGTAAGAGTGGGATTGAAGACTCTATGCCATTTGCTCTCATTGGTTACCTTATGATACCAGATTAGAATACAGTTGAATTATTCCATTAGTTCCCTTAGAAAACCTAATTAGAATACGTCTTGTGCTCCAGCAGCATCCTTAGACCCTGCCCTCTACCTTCTTGGCATCCCTGAACTCCTACCTAACAAGATGGGATCCCCCCCACCTTCTTATAGCCCTCAAATAAACCTACCTCCCACCACTAACTCTCATCTCCCAGGTCCTGGTTTCACATGGAAAGCAGCTGGATCTGGGTCCAGCAAAAATTAGATAATTTTGGGAATAGCTAATAGTCATGAAAAAAAAAAGTACTTAAATGCTTACCCCAAACACTAATAAGTCGTGCACATCAAAGTCACAATGAAATAGCATTTTAATCCCATCAAAGCCTACCTTATAGCAAGGCTCAGAGGTGAGCCAGTGATTCAGGAGGCTGAGGCATGAGGATCTCAAGTTCAAGGCCAGCTGGGGCAACTTAGACTCTGCCTCCAAATAAAAGAATAAAAAGAACTAGAACCGAAATTCAGCGATAAAGGGCCTCTGGGCTTGATCCCCAGTACAATCACCAATCAAATCCTATCTTACCCACAGTTTCAATTTCTGGTTTAAGTTATGCGTGGTCAAGTGCAACCTGAAAATATTAAATAGAAAATTCCAACAGTAAACACTTGGTAGGTTTTAAATTGCACATCATTGTGAGTAGCATAATGAATCGCGCCACCCTCCCTACCTCGCCCTGTTAGTCAGTATCCCCACACTCCGTTTCTCTTCGTGGTCATTTAGGTTCTCAGATTGACAGTATCGAAGTGCCTTTGTTCATTTCATTTAGTAATTGCCACAAAACACAAGATTAAGCATTGTATAAAAATTTCATGACAACAGAATTACAGTACATTGTTATAACCATTCTATAATATTTTTATTGTTAATCTTACTATGTCTAATTCATAAATTCAACTACCATAGGCATACTCAGGTGTGTGTATGTGTGTAGTATATATAAGTAGTACACGTAGGGGTTGGTACTACCCATGCTTTCAGATATGCACTGGGCTTCTTAAACTATGTCCCCCAGGATCAAGGGGGGACTGTTGTATGAAAAATTAAATTTGAGAATACAACTTACCAGCAACTTTTCAATCCTTGGGGGTATAAACTAGTGAAAGTATTTGGAGAACAGTTTCACACTATCTGGTAAATCTGAAGGGGCTGAAGTGTAATGGAATAATTCCACCTCCAGTTTTATGACCTAGAGAAACTCTCACACATCTGTACAAGCAGTTATGTGTGAATCTTCATTCTGCATCTTTTGTAATAAGGAAAAAAACTTAGTGTTCCTAATTAAGAAAATGAATGACTTGTATTACAGTCATATTATATAGCAACTAAAATAAATTAGAATGACACCGACCAGCTAGGATGCATTTTTAAAAACGGCATAAATGAAAGCAAATTTCAAAATAGTGTGAAAAATGTATGGAATTTTTTTTTAAAACAAAAAGGCAATGTTGTTAATGTTTGTTAATATCTAACATGCATAATACAAACAGAAACATGAGAGCAATGATACCAACTTGAGGGCAATGACTATATTCAGGAGACAGGGGGATCAAGGAAGGGGAGAAAGGGACTCAACTTTTATCTGACATTTTATTAAAAGCATACCCCATGAGGACATGGCAAAATATCAATGTAGTAAATTTGGAGAGCATGATTAAATGAGCATTTGTTATTTTATTACTTTGGGTATGTCTGAAATCTTGTTTCCAACAAGAGGAAAAGGAATTAAGCAGCCAGTTTTCGGGGAGCTGGGTGTGCACCATCTCGCTGCTGAGATGCAGGGTCTGCTATATAAATTATCTGGGGCTTTTACTTGAGTTGTGCCTCATTAGCAATCATCTCTAGCACCAATTAGAAAAATTGAATCTCCATACGAAATTACATGGTCTGCAATTAAGCAGCGCCTGGCTGCCAGTGGGAGGGCCGCTCCTTCCAAGCCAGAGCTCCGCGCTCCAGGAAAGGGAGAGGGCGCTGGACCCAGGGCGTCACAGGCACCGCGGGCGCCCTGCGTGCTTCCCTCCCCTTGCTCGGTTCCTCTGAAATCGGTTTCCCAGGCTTTCGGTGAAGGGGAGAATTGTCCTATGTCATTCCTCCTGACAGCCTGGCTCCCGCTGCACGAGATGTGCCAGGGATTACTGTTCGTGGGGACCCTCCAAGGGTGAGCCGATGACAGCTCCGGCACCTGGCAGCCATCACTCTCATTCCTCCCAAGGTGAGTGATCCCGTGAGTCAGAGGTGCCGGAAATGCTCTGCTGCGGACTCGCTGGGCACGCATTCGGGACAGCAGCGTCTCGGGGCACATTTAATGGCAGACTATATATGCTTCCATGTAGAGGAAAAAACCTCCGAGGCCGATTCCCACGTCAGCAGGTTGAGAGGACAGCCAGCCCACTCCATCTGCTTCTGTTCTAATTTAAGAACATCTCGGGGACAATTTTATCTGCAGGGAGAGGAACGTGTTTAAATATAGATACACGATTTCAGACCATTCAGAACAAAGACGGCCCACATTCCCACACTGCTGCCAGCATGCATGTCTGCACACACACTGGTCCTTCTGCATTTAGAGATGTCTGTCCTTCCGCATCAGTTAAACTGTCTTAGTTACTGTCCTCATTTATAAAACACTACCACGACACACACAGTGATGCTGGACTTCCGCTAAGCCACTTACAGCACAAGCTGATAAGGTGTTAATGGTAAAAACAGGACCTTCCGGGGGTAACAGGGGTTTCTAGATGGACCTATCGTTTCACTGAGCAATTACTTTCACAGTAAGTGCTTCACGCATCTATTTGGCATCTTATGAAAGACTACTATCAACTAGAGTGACAGAGTGCTTTCTTTGAAAGAAATAGACACCCGGTAATAACGACATATGTAAGAGACATAATTACGGCTCTAACCTTAATTTGGGTTTATAATTATCTAAGATAATTTGATCAAATCAAAGACTATCCACTGGTTAGTCTGGTAGGGCCACTGCTCCATGTCCGAGATGTCCATGGAGGATTCTGCGACTCAGCCCACCTCTCCCCTCTTTTCACTCCTGTCCAATAGAGAGGGAATTGATCTGCTGGGGTCTGGGATCTGCAGAGCCTCCGCTCCTGGGTTCTCCCTGGGCGGTGCCAGATGCTCGCACACCTGTTCTTCCATGCAGTGAGCCCATGAGGTATGGTGGGGACTGAGGAGCCTGGCCTGAGGGTCTGGGCTGGTCCATGTAATCCAAGGGGGACATGCAAGACTCTAACACAGCCACAGGTTGAGCGGACTTCCCTCATTCCAGGTTCAAAAGCCACAAAGCAGATGGGCTGCTCTTGGTCTCCCTGACTTCAGCACCCAGTTCCCACTGGGTCTGAGTTGGAGAATACCCACTTTATTTCCCTTTTCAGTTCAACCAGGAAATTTTGAGAAAAATGAAAGTATCCTTTGGAGACTGTAACGACACAGCCAGAGGCTATGTTTCCAGGTGGGACCATGGCAGGCTGTTTGGGGGCTTCAGTGATAGTGGGGTTTGACTCCTGGGACCTTCGTAGCTCATTGGCTCACTATGGCTGGCACAGTGCCAGGCCTGGGGGGTAGCAAGTCGGCGGGAGGGGATGGGCCTCAGCATCCACTCCAGCAGCAGACGCAGCGTGGGCAGGACTGAGACTGCGTAGGAAGCCTTACCTGGCTGCTCACTGCTGATCCAATGACCCTCCACACACTCATAGCTGCTCACACTGGCTCCTCTCTGTACCTTGGGCACACGGAGTTCATCGCTATCGCAGGATTTCTGCAGTTGCCGTTTCCTTCTCTGAATCAGGTTTCTGAAAATAATTGTAAGGCCTAGCTTTCTGGCTTCATCCAAGTCTGTCCTCAAAGGCCATATTCCAAGAGAGGTTTTTTCTTTTCTTTCGAGACACCTTGTGCCAGAGTCAGCACAGGATTCTCACTTGGCTTTCACCCTTTCCTATTTAACCACATTAGTATCAATTTAAGTGTCTAAATTTAAGTTACCGTGTGTATGTGTCACCTGTCTCACTAGAACACAAGGCCTGAGAGGACAGAAGCTATGACCTTGATGACTCTTGATCCAAAGCTTTAGCATAGTACGCGTTCAATTAAAAAAAAAGTCCTTTTAATGAAATCAAGTTTTTAAATATTTGTTCATTTCTCCTCTTCTGACAGTAGTCAAAACACATTGTTCATAACCAATTCATTTTTTGCTCCAAACTGATTCCTGCAGCTTCAAACCTTTTTCAGTAATTTTTTGGCCTTGAATTAATGTTTTCTTGCTGTACTTCCGTCTCCCGCCAAAATATTTGCTGTATAGCAAGATGTCTCTCCCTTCCTTATTCAATCATAAGATGAACCCCTTGTTCATGAGTGAGACCGTAATCAGATCCTCCAACATCAAAAACCGTGGATCATAGATTACATGACTAATAAATCAGTAAGTGTCTGGCCCAGATTGGGAGAGTGTAGGGACCAGCCAGGTGACCAAGGGAGCCCAGATCCCTTCTCCTGGACCTTCATGTGGTCTAGGAATTAAAAACCTGGACAAGCTAGACTTCTGGTTCCCAACACTCAGGAACACTTAGTGTTCTGAACAGTCAGTATTGTAGCGGGTTTTGATCTCTAGAGTCCCAAGTAGTGGAAGAACGAGAAGCACCCTACCCACCAGCGCCCCAGAGCCCAGGTGCTCAGATGCTTCCCATTTTGAATTGAGGCTTTACTGTGATCTCAGCCTTGTTGGGCCACACACATCTGTGAAGTTCAAGGTTAACCAGAGCTGCCTATGCACAAAGGACAAGGTATCTCACAGAGGATTATGACAACTTAGGAAAGGATACACAGTTGTACCAGTGCAACCTGAGCTGCTGTAAGGGAAAGCAGCCAGATGACCTGCACATCACCAGGAGCGCACCTGACTTTCAATGCTCTTACCCTGGCCCCAGTGGAAGCCACAATCTCCCTGTGAGCTGCTGGCCCCAAACTCCAGGGCTCCACCAATGCACTGGAGCTGTGTGGGGTCATATCCATAACCATCCACCCTTCTCCTCCTGATTCCTGAACCAACCCTGAAACCAGACATGTAATAGAAATGAGATCTCTTATCAACTTTGTTGTAAGTGAGGTTAAATTAAGAGAATGAACATTAGAACAAAAGACTTAAACAGGCTTCCCTCTCTGAACCAGGTCTACCTCCCTCACGCCACCTCTCTGGTTAGCAGCCATGGAATCAGAAGGCATTTAAAGTTATTTAGATGAGGTCAAATAAAGGCACTATTTAGGAATGTGTGGACAGGGCATAAGAATGGAGCTCCCATGTGCTGACTGCAGAAGAGTGCCGTCTCTAGGTACAAATTCTGAAGGACAGAGCCGCATAGAGGGACCTCTGGAGGGGAGAAGGGCAGCCCTGCAGGACAAAGTGACCAACACCTTGAACTCGGTGTCTGCTTCTGTTGGATCTTCGGCCAGGACCCCCCATTGGGGGTCCCAGAAGCCAGGG